TATTGGATTGTCTATAACTAGCCATTTCTAGGCCCTTGCTATCACTTGGGTTAATATTAGCTTTTTAACACCTTTATCATGTCAACCAGGTCCTACAAAGGCACAGTATATTGTAAGTGGAGGTACAAACTATGAGCATTATATTTGATTTGTACATAAATACGAATACAGGTTAAAATTTGTCATAAAATTGAAATTGGATTTTTTTTAGGCTTGTCACATGTCAATTCTAGTAAATGGGATTCTTGACTATATCCTATGTCTCAAAATGTGAGCAAATGTAATAAATATTCTGAAATGTCCATAGCAAAAACAGATTGATCAGTTATTTAATCAGCAATGGCTTTGGACATTTTTATAACTTGTTAATTGCTGTGGCAGCGAACCTCATTTTTCATCATTCTGAAACACATCGATTAAAAAAAAACTCCAAAATATGTCCGAAACACAACAAAAATAGACTCATTTTATGAAGCAGCCTGCAATTTCTATGCAACCTTTAACTATATCCATCAGCTTTTTCAGTTTAAACCTGTTATGTCAAATGTACATTAATGTATTTTTGAAAATTACCTTAAATTTACCTTAAATACATTTATATATTCATTAGTTTCAGCATTTTTAGGATTTTTTACCATTCAAAACATGTTATATTATGTATTGTATATTACTGTTAATCGCTATGGCAACTGTCCCAATTTCTCATCATTGTGAAAACCCCCATGCTGATGTTGACTCCCCCAGTGCTAAACTCACTGAGCTTCTCCTATTGAACTGGCCTCTGTAATAGCGTCCACCCTCCCCCAGTACACCTGAGTGCCCTCTCAAGGTCAGGTGAAAACGACAGCACAGATTTCAATGGCACAGACACTGGGTTCATTTGTCCTTATGCCTTTTTGCAAGAACACTCCATCAAGCACTTTTCACATTGATTCAGTCTTAGCTGCAAATGTGCATTAGCAAAATGAAATCTGGATGTGCCAAATTTGCAGCTGTAACATTACTCAGCTTTTTCAAGTCTTCAGAATGGGCATAATTGCATCACTGAGTTTTTCCCATTAATTGGAAAGTGACTGGTTAAATCCTCTCTCCTGAATATTGCTGATCCTTCCTGAGCCCGTCCACTAACCATGACGTTTGTGGTTTGAACCCTTGCCTGACCGGCCAGTCCCTTCTACATTCTGTTTGAGTCCAGAAGGGTTTGATCGGAGCAAAGAGCGTGAAAAACCTCTGTCCAAACTTGAGAAGGTCCAACCACAGCCAATAATTTGTATCACATGTCTCTCAAATGCAGAAGACATCACCTCTCCAAAATTCTCATAACATTCAGAACAAAATATATAACTTCTTATACCTGAGATTATGAGTATAACTGTACACAAAAGTCAGGGTTTGGTACGTACCTCGGTTAGGAGGTCACGGTTCGGTTCATTTTTGGTATAGTATGGGAACAAAATGCAAAACCATTGGTGCGTTTATTAAACCAACATTTTGTTTTAAGATTATGCAAAAGGAAAAATAAAATAATGCAAAGTGCTGCTTGGTAATACTAATAAGTTAAATGAAGGAGATTCTGTGTCGGCGAAAGATGAAAGTGAGGACAGGGGTGCAGTGACCGTAGTTTTGAGAGGATTCACGTGGTTTGGAGAGATGAGGTCAAGGTGGGGGCAATTGTTGTCAGGATGTCCGCCCTAACTATAAAGCGCAGCAGGAAACATTGCTTCTCCAATCACTGATGAGTTCCTTTGTGAATGTTAAAGAGCCGAGCCTTCCGTGTAGCTGCACATGTAGCACAAACTCACTTGTGCATGGTCCTGCACCGAAGCGAACGTACTGAAACGGTTCGGCATGAATACATGTACCTTTACACCCCTACCTGAGATGAATTATAATTTGGTGCTTCGATTGCTGATTCTGTAAAAAACTGTGTTGTTTCTCAGTTCTTTATGTTCTTTTTTTTTTATCTGTAAACCATCATGTTTGTTTTTGACACAAATAATAGATCATGTTTCTCTCTGATTGGTTAATCTGCTTGTCAATCATGCCCTCTGAAATAAGAGAGACAGGATACAGCTCTAGATCCACTCGTCTTTGTAAAGTTTTGTCAAAGCGTGTAAGTCTGTCTGGTCAGGTAATCTGAACCCCACATAACAGGTCAGTTAACTTCCCAGCTCTTTATAGTGGAATTTCATTGTAACAAGAAACAAAAATGGATATGGATATAACCGGGACTCTGCTGTTAACAGTACTCTAGTTTTACAAGTCCTCAGAATGGAAATAATTGTTTCTATTGATTTAATGGATAAACTACAATCTACGGGGCAGCACTCGAGAGTACAGAGGAGAAGTGATGGAGAAGTGATGGATATATATCTCTGCAATCTGAGTGAGTGTGAGGAGGAAAGAGCCTGTACAAGCACGTTTTAAATGAACTCCCATGAGGACAGAGAAGATCTAATAGAAGTAAATAAAGCAAGTGGAATTGCAATTTTATTTGACTTTTATTTTACCTTTATTTAACAAGGAAGTCCCATTGATATTCAGTCCAAGGTAGCAGCAGATAATATGATTCAAGTGGTAAGTTGTTTTGAAATATAAGAGTGGCAATAAAATACTATGAATATTTAGATTATTGTACAAGAAATTAAATCTGAACATCTGATATATTTGTCAAAGCCCAGTCCCGTCTGGTCTCAGAGGCTAAGAAGGGCTGGGCCTGGTTAGTACTTGGTTGGGGACTGCTGGGAATAACAGGCGCCAAACTGGGCCAGCAGTGGCTCTATAATGCAAACTGTTGTTGTGTCCTCAGGCAAGACACTTCACTTGTCTTGCTTAGAGTAAATGTGGTCTTGGCAGCCTTGCTTCCATCAGTCTACCTCAGGGCAGCAGTGGCTACAAAAGAAAATTACCACCGTCAATTATGGAATGAATTAGTAATGCACAAAACTGTTAAGTGTGTAGATGTTTATTGGCTGCAGTGGGTTAAGTGAGGACACATTTCCTTAAAGAGGGACAGGAGATACTGTATTTACATTTTAACCTTAGATAACCTAAGTGTAAAATCATTTGTGTTTCAATAAATAGGCCTAAAAATATCAAGTGCAAAACTACCACAAAAAGATGTACGTTGAATGCATATTTTGATTCCTGGCCAAATTGTTGCACTTGATTCTTCTTATGTCATTTATAAAATACAGTTTGGAGTGGATTATGAGACTTGTTCATTAGACTAGAATGCAAATTGACTTTCGGTCATGCTCCTGATCCCGGCAGGGGTCTCAAATAATTGCTTTTTTTTTTCTGAGCTAAAAAACAGATGGCCACATTTGAGCTGTGAGTTATGAAGAGGTTGTTTACTCGTTTATTGCATATAGACCACATTTATGCACACTAACCCATTCCAAATATGTAGACATGGATAGAATAAAATAAATAAATAAATAAAAGGTTTTATGACAAAGAAAGATTTTATAAATTATTTCCTTGCCTTGACTTGATCTAGTAAATTATGGCATGCATTTTTAGTTGCAATAACTTATTAACAAAATTATTGTGACTATCATGTGCAGCATCACTATTGTCTGACATTTTATTATTATTTTTTATAATGTGTGTTTATCAGGGTGGCAAGATTAATCAAAATTGTTTCAAAATCACAAATTGAATGAATTTTATTTGCAAATCGCAAAGTTTCCAATTTTTCTGCGCAATCAACAAAATATTTGGATTTGATGACTCATTGTATGTGACTTTTCCCAGTTCATCGGTGAATTCCCAGCACAGGTTCTGCTGGTTACGCTCCCACTGGGACCTGGACCCCTTCTGGCTCATAAACCTGTCTCTGCTTTGTCTCCTGATAAAAAAAAAAAAAAAAAAAAACAGGGTTCATTAGCATAAAGGTGTGGTTTTGGAATCTGAAGGAAATGGAGATTTGGATTTCATTATACAAGCATAATTTTAGACAATATTTATTTACAGTAGACTATTATTTTTATTTTTACAAATTAGTGTTGCCATAATGAAATGGAAACTTGTCTGATTATATAATAAATGGTCTTTTTCTGTTCTGTTAAAAAAAAAAAAAAAGTCTGGCATAGGGTATTTAAGTATAAAGGAATGTGTCCTGGCTAGCTCGCCAAGTTTTTAACTGGAATTTTTAACTCACTAGCTGCTATTAATGTGCAATAATTAACAACAGCTATGCTAATAAGTAACAATAGTTGAGTTAGGATCAAAAGCCTAAATTTGGTTAAAAAAATGTAGCTGTTTTTCAAAAATAAAACACACTGGTGAAAATGGTGGTGAGAGTGGAGCTTTAACTCAAACAACACAATCATTGGCACACCCAGTGACTGTTACATAAAAGAAAACATTTCAAGGTTGTTGAGACTTAATTAAAATGTGGAAATCTCCACAGTCGTTTAATTTGGCCCTAATCTTTAGAGCTTCTGAGTTTTTGATGAAAACTTTTAATGAAGATGTTAAAAGTGTGTATTCTTGTCCGACCTGGGTTTGATCCAGTTTATCGACTTCTTGTCAGGTTTAGGGTGGTGTCATAATATAATTTTTCTCATGTCTTGTCATGTTTTATTTTCATGTCAAGTTTGATCTTTCTATTAAGATTTTTTTTTTTTTCAGGCCAGGCTCCCTTTGGCTCCATGAGATCAAAGTTTGAGTTGGTTCTACTGAGCCGCCATTCAATATTTTTTCTTGGGGTCTTCACTATAAATTACATCTCACTGATCTCAAATTTTTGATACTAGTTACTTGTGTAGATGCCATTGTTTATGGCTTGATTTTTGCAAATTTTATGAAAAGTTTACAAATACAAATACATATAATAATGTATGTATGTATGTATATCTTGTTCCTAAATAGATATAAAGGATAACATGTCGGCTTGTAAAGATCCAAAACTAGTAAACTATTTGAAACTTAGATAGATAGATAGATACTTGAAAGTGTGTTCTTATCCTCCCAGGTGCCAGTAGGGGGTCGCCATGGAAGCCCCTCTCGTCTGCCTGGATGAGGAGTTCGAGGACCTGCGCCCATGTCGCATGGACTCCCCAGAACATTCCACCCACTCGACCTACTCCACCTCCTCCACCGTGGCCCTTGTGCCCATCACCCGTGAGGACTTCTCAGAGCTGGACAACTTCTCCGAGATGATGAGCTTCAAGTCCATGGAGGACCTGGTCAATGAGTTTGACGAGAAGCTCAACGTGTGTTTCCATAACTACAACACCAAGACAGAAGGCCTGGCCCCCATCCGCAACCAGAGTCACAGCCAAGAGGACGAGGAGAGGCTGCAGGATGAAGAGTGAGTACTCATCATGTGACTGTGGGGTTCATTAGTGTGTCATTATTGATGCAACATTTGATCAGAATAATAGTGACTCTAAGGTTTGACTTAAAATAATCCTGGATTTTTTATCAACTAAACTGGAGTTTAGCAAATAGTTGCTGAAACGGGCGGGCTTTAACATTCTGGAATTTTATGGGCGGGTTGTGATTACACACGGGCGGGTCAGGTGAATCAAATGAACAATGAACGGGAGAAAAATACTTGATGCGTGTCCAGGACATCCGTTGCTGTTTTCTGTTGGGTCTTTTCCTAGAACGATGACAGACGAGGCTGAAAGAGACACTTTAGTGTATTTATTACATAAAACCCATCAGTGGAGGTGATGGGCTCGGCGGCTGTGCACCTGGTTTAGACCTGGTTAAGTCCTGGTTTAGACTTGGTTTGGACCTGGTTTAGCGCTGGTTAAGTCCTAGTTTAGTCCTGGTTTAGACCTGGTGTAGACCTGGTCCATTCTTGGTGTAGTCCTGGCGATCGGTTCGGTGGTTGCAGTGTATATATATTTATGCTAATGACACTGTTTTAGTCCTGGTTTAGACCTGGATTAGTCCTAGTGTACTCTTGATCCAGTCCTGGTCCAGTCCTGGTGATCAGCTCAGCGGTTGAGGCATGTATATGTTTTTTTATTCCGCTAATGACATGGCATAGGTTCAGTCCTGGTTTAGTCCTGGTTTAGTCCTGGTTTAGTCCTGGACTATTGGGCTGTGGGAGTACTGACCCCGATTTATCACAGGCACGGGCAGGTAACAGGTGGAATGTTACCGGGTCCAGGCGGGTGTGGATTTAACTTTGATATAATCACGGGTTAACGGGCGGGTGCAGGTCTCCAAAAATTGACCCGTTGTTGTTTGGATTCTGTAAACCTACGGTACCAACATTTAAAAAAACAGCACAGCGACACAGGGAGGTATTGGCTCTAGAACCTCTGTCCAAAAAAAAAAAAATGTCTTTCCTTTCATAAAACTACTGCTTGAATTCCAATTGTGGTAAGTCCATTTTCCTATAACCACAAGAATGTAAACAAACAGTAGATCAGAGGCTCCACCCATGCCCTCCCTTCTTCAATCACCTCTTAACTTCTCTCCTCTCCTCCTCGTCCATTCTTCATCTTCTCTCTCCTCTCTCACCCATTCTCTTCCTCCTTATTTCTCCCTCATCCTTCCTCTACCTCTGATCGCCTCTCCCTTCCTCTCTCTGTCTCTCTCTCTCTTTCTCTTTCTCCCCTCTTTCTCCTCCCTCCTTCTCTCCCTCCTCCTTTCTTCCTCTCCTCCTCCTGCATTATTCAACCCCATCTCCCTCGCTTGACTTGTCTTGGCGCTGCTCTGTGCCACTCATCGTCAGCTGACCGTTCGTTCCTGCTGGGGCCTGGAACAGTGTGAATATGAGAGGCTATAAATAGTCTGTTTGTAGGTGTTGAGGACGTGTTGATGAAGAAATTACAGCTTTGGATTTGAGCTCAGAAGGAGAATTAGAGTGGAGAACTGTGGGAGGACACGAGCTGTGATTCTAATGCAAAAAAAGTGTAGTGATTACGTCAGTTTTTTTAAGGGGGCTGTAGACCTGATCATGTAAAATGTGTCTTCTCTCAGTACAGAGATACTGTTAATGCTGATTTTGTCTAATTTATTATGTTGCATCTTTGCTGTCAGTGAATCAAAATGTAAGACTGGCATGTAAGTTGTTGTAAGTATTATGTTAGTATACTTTGAAAAACTCCATTCTTGCCTGTGAAAGTTATTATCCTCATGCTGTTTTTGTCTAGCCACGCTGGCACATCTAGTGCCTTCACTCAATTTAATTTCTCTCCAGTGACTATGTTAGGAATCGGCATGCACTAGACGGTTTGCACGAACCTTGGAAGTCCTAGTTCGGGCACCAGCCAATCAGCGAAGAGCCATACATTCTGTGTTGGCAACGATTCCCGAGATCGAGGATTTAAAGCCCGAACAGAGAATGTTTGGTGAATTTTATCAATTTTATCATTACATATGTCACGGCCAAATAGCAGCGATTGGTTAAATTTTAAAAAAAGCCTACCGTCAAGTGAACATATCATAATGCTGCGAGGTCAGACGGTTTCCACAAAGTGAAACTGGTTGATGAAGCAGACTAGCTTTTGTCTGCATCTAATTATAATGCGCTTTTGTCGTTCATGACTCAGGGAGTTAGGTTAGTGCATTGTTAGCATGCTAGTTGCTGTAAACATTACTTTGAATGCAAATAAAGTCACAAAGTTAGAATGCATCCAACCAAACAAAATCTGTTATGAAAAGGCCTGCCACAGTAACACATTTTGAAGTGTGATATATTATATTATTATAATCATTTGTGGCAAAAAATATTTTAAATGCACAATAACAAGCCTAGTTATGGAATAAATACAAAATAAATATGTTAAATGCAATGGTGTGGAACGTTCAGGTAAAGCAGTAGCATCACCATAGAAAAAAGTAGATGACAGAGAGACCTCACAAGAAAAGTTACCTTTAAAGATACCATCTATATGCTTATTAGATTTTTTTAGCAGCAGACGGCAGATGTGAAGCCTTGGTCAACCAATTTAATTACAGATGGTAGCTTTAAGTTAAACCACAGCAATAAAATCTTTGGCTCACTCCATGATTGTTGCATAAAAGGACACGTTTCAAGGTTATCCAGACTTAGTTAAAATGTGAAAATCTCCACCGGCGTTTAATTTGGCCCTAATCTTCAGAGTTTGTGCAATTATAGATAGAGAGGGAGAGGAGCGTGAAAGGCGGATGGAGCCACAACATGAATAAAATATGAGTTCAGTGTCTGTGGGAAAACACACACACTGCAAGGAAGCTTTGGTTTTCAGTTTTCAGTTAGAGACAGTGTTAGATATTCTGTTCTGCGCAGTGCTTGCCAGTTTTTGTTTTATTTAAGCGCACTTAAAATCCTTTTTCTCAAAAATCGACAGTGCGCTTTATAATCCATTGCACCTTATATATTAATTCTGCTTGTGCTTATTGACCTCAAGCTGATTGTATGCAGTACACGGTAGAAGTTGACCACATCAGCAGCACAAGGAGCGAGCTGTTTTTTGTTTTTTTTCCAGCACTTATAGTTTATGCAAATTAGCCATGTGTTTTTAAGTTTAGTTTCTGTAAAATGTAAACAAATGTGTGCAAAGCTAAACACATTATTACTCAATGTATATTTGAGTCCTCCTCTTAAGAAATATTTATATATAAAAAAAAAACTTAAATTATCCACTCACATTCACATTCATAATACAAGACAGGGAGGCAACACCGGGTGAATTATGCCACGATCTGCCAATGGATCGTGGACGCCTGGACTAAAGATCAGTCTCAAGTGTCGTCCGTTTGTTTCTCTTAATGCACTTTATAATCCGGTGCACCTTATAGTCCGAAAAATACAGTACATATTTTACTTTTCTGTCTTGGCAACACAGACACAACATTTACATGCACAGATTTATTCAAATTCATTCTGTATCCGATTTATTAAGGTGCAATCCCAGTTCTGATTTCCCCCAACACCTTTTCCTTAAAAAATCCTGGTCTAGACTTAGACTTAGACAAACTTTATTGATCCACAAGGGAAATTAGAGAGAAAAAAAGAGAAAAAATATAAATGGTAATAATAAATTCTAAATAAGTAGCAGATAAGCCCAAGAGACAGGAGTCAAAAAAGGCATAATTATATAAATGTACATGTAAAAATCTAAATAAAATACAAATAGAATAGAATTTTGGTCAAAGGGGCTCAAACATTTCACAACAAAAAACACTTTCAAATATTTGGCCAACCGAGTGCCACCAGATGTTAAAACTGAGTTACGTGATTTTCAAACTGTGACAGGAGGAACTAAAGGTATTTAAACATCTAACTAACTCAGACACCCTTTATCACAGCTGTAGTCAGTGTTGGGAAGGTTACTTTTAAAATGTATTCAGATTACATACCCCAAAATGTAGTTTGTAACGTAATCTATTAAATTACTTAAAGTGAGTAACGTAATCTGAATACTTTGGATTACTTGATTTGCTGTAGAGAAGCAAAGACGAGGATATCGTAACATAAGATATTTTGTCACTAAAAGAAAATAAAAAGCCCAGACTTTACTTAACCAAATTAAAAATAGAGGAGACACGGACCACACGGCATGGTTTAGTCCTGTTAAATCCTGTTTGAGACATAGTTTAGACCTGGTTTTAGACCTGGTTTAGACCTGGTTTGGACCTGGGTTTAGACCTGGTTTTAGACCTGGTTTAGACCTGGTTTAGACCTGGGTTTAGACCTGGTTTTGACCTGGTTTAGACCTGGTTTTAGACCCGGTTTAGACCTGGTTTAGATTTGGGATTAGACCTGGGATTAGACCTAGTTTAGACCTAGTTTTAGACCTGGTTTGGACCTGGGATTAGACCTGGAATTAGACCTGGTTTGGACCTGGTTTAGACCTGGTTTGGACCTGGTTTAGACCTGGTTTTAGACCTGGTTTAAAGTCTGGCAATGAGTGGAATTACCACACAAAAAAAAGGGATACAGCCCAAAATTTTAAAACAGCAAAATACCTCTCACTGAAACTGTAACAGTAACCGAATACAGTTACTCATAATTTGTACTCTAATTACGTAACTCCAATACATGTAATCCGTTACTCCCCAACACTGGCTGTAGTGTTCACATCCTGTCATTTTTTTTTTTGGCCATCAGAGCAACTTTTTCAGATCAGGTAAGGTGGACTGCCAAAACACATATGCCTTTTTTTTAGTGTCGTCTCCTTGTCAAAAACCTGGAGTTGTATTTTTGCGTCATTCACGCTTCAGAAGAGCAAATGTGGATTAAAAGGCTTTTGCACTTCTGCCAATAATATTCATGCTACAGTTTATATGTGAAATGTCAGGCCTCCGTCTTTAAAGCGCTGTTCTTGTATTGTGGGACATTGAGTGCCGTGTGCGCTGAGCTAACCTT